CCCCCCGGCCCCGGCCCCCCAGCCTCTCCTCGTACGGCTCTTCCCGTAAATCACCCCTGAAACCCCGCAGCTCCCTGCGGACGAGCCCTGTTTAAAGGCCGCGGCATCGCCGTTCACCGTCCGGCACCGCGTCCTTCTGCCAGCTTTCGCCCCGGTTCCCCCCTTTCGCCCCGGTTCCCTCCTTCGCCCCGGTTCCCTCCTTCGCCCCGGTTCCCCCTTTCGCCCCGGTTCCCCCCTTTCGCCACGGTTCCCCCTTTCGCCACGGTTCCCCCTTCACCCCAGCCTCACCCCGTGCCTCAGCCCGTGGCTCCAGCGAGCTGTGCGCAGGGTGGGCTCCTCGCACCCCTGTGCCCCTGCGTTCCCACCCCAAAGGCTCTCCCATCACCTGCTCTCCCATCGCCTGCTCTCCCAGCACCCATGGAGGGGCTGTCATGGGTGCGGACTCACACCACGCACTCGCAGCAGGAGCTCAAGTCATGGGACAGGCCTTAAACCATCACCCATCAGGTTTACTTCATGCTCTGAGCTCAGACGGGATGTTTAAGACTACTGGGTCCCCCCAGTTTGCTGGTATCCCTGTGGGGTCCAGAGAGTGGCTCACACCGGCTCCGAGGAGCATCCCGGTGTGGGGACACCTCCCCAGGCCAGTGTGTCCCCAGTGTGGGGCTGCAGCCTGGGCTGGCTGGGACGGTGTCCTGTTTGTCAGGCTATTTTGCAAACCAGCGGTCAGTGTGCTGCAGGAAGGCAGGCTCGTCCCAGCGTGCGGGGCCGAGAGTCCCAGTTGGACCAGAGCAGCAGGTCGGGATGCGCCGGGCAGCCTGACACTGCTCCGCACAGGCGCCGCTGGTTTTTCACTTAACGGCAACGAGTAACCCCAAAACTGCAGCAGATTAAGCCACTAAACACACACGTTGTGCACATGAGCAGAGGCAGCACGGGATATTTTTCAGAAGCTTTATTTGTGTATGCAAATACCTGCAAGGTGCAGAGGAGGAGCTGGGTGCAGCCTTACCTGGGCGCTTGCTCAATGACTGCTGCGTGGGCGGGTGGGTGAGGACAGGACCGTGTCCCTCCGACCGGTGTCCCTGGGCCTGTCGCATCGCCCCGGCAGCGTAATTCCCCTCTTGCAAAGAGCGCAGAGATTTTTAGGACTTGCCCTCTTAATCTTTGCACATCGCGTCTCACCCAGCAAGATGCTGTCTCCGGAAAAATCACGCTATAGCATCACTATAGGAGAGGAGCGAGGGGCCATTGGCCCAAGGAGCAGCGTTTTGGCCTCACGGCCTTGGTGGGTACCCAAAGACATGTGGCTTCACCCCAGGCTGGGAGACCTGGTGCAGCGAGGGGATCTCCTGCCCGTCACTTCTGTCCCTAAAATAGTTACCTCCTGCTTACATGCCGCTGCCGACTTGTGGGTGAAGCCTGCAAAGGAGAAATAGCTTCATTTAAAGGCTAATTATCATTAATCTGTTGCCAAAGGAAGCTTAAAAGTGTGAGCCAATTACACATGTTAATGTGCTTTGGGTAACAAGCGGCCGAAGGGTGTAATTAGAGCCCGTCTGTGGCACGGACACCCAGTTTTGGATGGTATGTCTGGCCCGGGCCGGTCCCGTCGGCTGCATCTGCTGGTGTCAGTAACGGCGGGTATGCGCGGCCAAAGCCAGGTCGGTGCGGCAGAGGAGAGGGCGCGAGCCCCACGGACGCTACCTAGAGAGATTCACCAAAAAAAAAAAAAACCAAACCCCAAATTCCATTTTTTGTGGTAAAATGAGCAAGACTTGGCAGCTGTGGTGTCAGCTCTGCAGGTGGGTCCATTACACAAGAGCAACACTTGCTCCTCCTCTTTCAGTGTGATAAAGAAGGGGGGTTGATGCCGTTGTAGGACGTGGTCAGACAGACGGACAGTGCTTGGACTGATGCTCCTCTGCCAGGGAGGCATCCCTGGACCAGCCGCCCTGACGCCCATCGTTAGGCAGTCGCGCTCGTGGCTCTGGGTGCTTTGGCCCGTCCCGGCGGTGCAGGAGAAACCCCCAGGAGGCAGAGGAGAGCGGCGGTGGCTGGGCTCTGGCCCCCAGCCAGCTTCGCTTCAGGCTGCGGACGGTGGCCACCAAGCCTCCGTCTGTCTCCCACGGACCTTCCCTTCGCAAATCCAGGCTAATGAAGTCCTGGGCTCATCTCTCTTTATCGCAGGGGTAAACTCTGGCTTTTTCTCGCCAGCCCCGACACACACAGGAGCTGCTGCTAGAGGTGGAATTTGTCCTGCTAGAAGTCAAGGGAAGAGTTAAGCCCAGTCAGCATGATTGTGATTTTCAGTGCAAGTTCCTCTTCCAGTTTCAGGAATCGGGGAAAAAAATTGCATCGTTTGGTAAAACCCCGGCTGAGCGTCGGCATCGGGGCTCAGCCCTTCGGGGCGGTGGGTGCATGGACCCGCCGAAGGTGCGGGCACGCCAACCCCTGTCTGGCCCATCACCCCGAGCCGGTTCCTAGCGCTGCCCTTTCCTTGGCCTCTCTTCCAGATGTCCTTCTACTTCTCGGACACGGCAGTGCTGCTCTTTGACTTCTGGAGCGTCCACACCCCCACAGGTAGGCTGCCAGCCCCAGCCCCGAGACACCCACCTGTCCGTCCGTCCATCCACCACCAGCCATGCTCTCTGCGCAGGGAAAAGGATGCAGGGCAGAGAAACGAACAGTGGCTTTGGATTTCTGGCAGGAGCAGTGCTCGTGGTGGGCTGGGAGGGGGAGAAGAGGGCCCCCACCCAGCATTAACGCCGGGGCACCTACTGCATGGGGGGTCAGGGCAGAGCCGTGATGGGCTCCACACACCGCTCAGCCCAGAGCTGGGAGGGTGCTGCCCGTTTTTGCCTGCCCCTCTCCTACCCTGATGAGTGATATGGTGCCCTGGTAATGCCCTGGGCAGGGGACGATCCTCCCGAGCTGAGAGCAGTGGGCAGGGAGGTGCTGGAAGTGTCCCCCCCCCAGGCCTGCCAAACCCCCCAGGTCACTCAGTGATGGTTTAGCTTCACCATTTTCTTTTACATTCTTTTTTTTTTTTTTTTTTCTAAATTATTGTCCCAGTATCATGTTTTAACCCCCACATTTTTGTGGAGTCGATGCGAAGATGCTTATTTTTTTCGGAGCAACCACCCCCAAAAAATACTCCCTAGGAATTTAGAGGGGGGATTGGGCTAAACACACCATTTCCCAACACTTCACAAACTGCTGCCTGTCACTCCAGCCCAACCCTGATCCCAGAAGCCCTCCATTCCCTCCACCTTATCCCATGGATATGCGCAAGCACTCCATGCCGGGACCCACCGGTGTGGGGTGATGGGCAGCGGTGGGTTGTTTCTCCTGCAGGGATGGTTCTCTCCGTGCTGGTGATCCTGCTGCTGTCGATGCTTTACGAAGCCGTCAAGATGGGCAAGGCCGTGCTGCTGCAGCGGGCGCTGCTGGCTCTGCCCCGCAGCCTCAGCCGGGAGTCGCTGGCGGAGCCAGAGGAGCGGGGCACCGGCCCTGGGCAGGGCAGGTACCGCAGGGACCCCTTTGCACCGGGATGCTGGGGCCGCGGGGGGGCTTGGGGACGGGTGTATGGCCCCTGGACCAGCGCAGGAGGGGAGAAAGGCTGTGAAGAGACAGCCATGGCGTAACAGGCTCTCAGGAAAGGGGTATATGTACAGTCTTGGGAAGCAGCCCCGGGGGCATCCCGGCTCCTCCAGGAACTTTGGGAGATGTCCAGGGCATTTTTCAGCTGTCTTAAATGCTCACGTTCCCCCAGGAGCCACCGTGGGTGCAGGAGGGTCCTTGTGGTTCGGGGATGTGCACAAGCAGTGGCTCAGCCACCCCAGCAAGGCTGGCCTGGGTGTTTCCTTCCCAGCACAAGCCGTTGGAGCCAAGCCCTGGGTTTTTCCTCTTGTATTTAATCCCAGACCATGCCTGAGGCTGCTCTTACTGCCAACCTCTTAATAATATCCTCCCTGTTCCTTTGGGGTAAGATTTCCCCTTGCACTGCTGTTTGCAGCTGCCGTTCCTCTCCCTGCTCCCCAAACCCATCTCTGGCCACTCCAGGATGCTGGTGGGGGTAAATGCTGCCCCAGCCCCTTGCTGATGGGGTTTCCCATCTTCTTCCACAGGTGGTTTCAATACCACGTCGGCCAGACGCTGTTCCACGTGGTGCAGGTGGTGCTGGGCTACATGGTGATGCTGGCCGTCATGTCCTACAATGCCTGGATCTTCCTTGGGGCCATCGTAGGCTCCACACTGGGCTATTTTGTGGTGTACCCCCTGCTCGGTCGGGGCTAGGCGCCCGTCCCGGGATGCTGGGTGATGTGCTCCACGCCTCCTGCTACTTTGTCTGGAATAGCTGCTGTCACTTCTGCTGGGTCTGTCCTTGTCCCCGTGCTGTGCAGGATGCAGCACCCCAGGGACTTGCTGCGGGGACCCTGAGCGCTGGCCTGACTCAGGTGGGGAGGCGCTGGGGAAGGGGAGCCCTGTGGCTCTGCCACGCTGCCTCTGCCACCGTCCTCAGCTGGTGGCTGTCCCCCGCCTCTCAGGGAGCTTTGGCCGGGTGATGGTGGCGGGGAGATGCTGGGCATTTCCTCCCCTCCACCCATTTTTTTGGGGGGGTTCATCCTGGCTGGAATGGGAATGATCCAGCGACCTGCTGGGGACAGGGACGTGCTGGGGACAGGCACCCCTGCCCAGAGCTGCCCTGCACCAAGCCCCTCTTCACACAGTGCCTTCTGGGGATAACGGGGGTCCTGCCCCCCTCACCCCCGCTCCTGCACAGTGCTTCAGGGATGGGATCGGAGCAGCCCCCGAGCTGTCGGTGCGGCCGTGCCGAGGGGAAGCTGCTGCTGCGGGTGCCTCTTGCTGCTTCCTCGGAACACCCCTTTTAATAAAATCATCTCAGTCGTTGGGCTCCTGGCTTGTGTTGCTGCTGGGTGGTCTCAGGATGGGACATACCCCAGTCACAGTGGGAGTGGGGATCCACAGCCCTACCCCTCCAGCACAGCCCCAGGGGGGCGGTTCAGGAATAAGGACAGCCTCCTCTGGCTTTAAATAAAGCTTTTCTGATTTATTAATTATTATAAGCATATTTTTAAACATTTGTATAACTTTCAATAAAATATCCTGGAAGAGACAGGTTTTAAGTTCCCAAAGCAAGGCACTCTGGGGGGCCTCCCCGAGTGGGTTAGGCTGGGCACCCCCTTTCAGAGGCAGAAACAGCGGCACCTAAAATACAGGCGAGTGTCGGGGTGCTGGTCCCTGCTCCGTGCACGCACACGCGTCTCACGCTCACGAGTCCTGCCAACCCCTACCAGCTCAGGGGCTTTTAGCATCTCGGCAGGCAGGGCTGCTGGGGGTGCCAGCAAACCGCTGCTAAGGCTCGACCATCACCGCAGGTACCAAAACCTGCAGAGCCCAAGAGCCGGAGAAATCATCCGTGCATGGTGCTGGGGAGCTCTGGAGGGCAAGAGCTGGGATCCCCGCACTGCACGGAGAGCCTGAGCCCCGAGGCAGCCCGGTCCTGCCAGGCAAAGCTGGAGACACCGTGAGTGCCACCTTCCCCTGTAAGTTTTTACTTTGAACTGAAATAGCTGCTGGAAGACCCCAGGGTGAGGGTGGCCAGGGGTGGGTGCTGGGTGCCGTGAGCCCAGCCTGGGTCCCATGAGCCCACGCCTGTCCCAGCTCTCCCCCCACCGGCAGCGGTTCAAGCCACCCGGTACTGCTGTATCCCCGCCATGCCCACGGCTGCCGTCGTGGTTTTCCATCATCCCCCGTGTCCCCTGCTCCCACTGGCACTCCCGGAGCTGGCTGGGTGGGATGGCGACGGGCAGGCTCCCAGGAAACCCCCTGGACTGGGGCAGGGGATGACCCCTGCATCCCACACACCCATCCACAGCAGGGCTCATGCCAGCCCCCCAGCACCCCAGGCAGTTGTGCTGGAGGGGGGGCAGATAAAGCATCTCTTCAGTAGAAAAGAAGACAAGGCAGAAGAAGGACAGAGCAGAGTGCAGGGGGTGCCCCAGGCCGGGCCAGGGCCTCCCCCAGTCCGACCCAGTTAGGACCAATTGGCTGTGGCCAGCCCCGCGCAGCGGTGGGGACCCCCCTGGCTAGGCAATAAGGTCTTGGTGTTTCCCATTCCCTCCCTCTCCCGCGGCGCCACTCTCCATCCCTGGCAGCGCAGCGGGTCCTATTCCCCTTACCCCAACCCCCGGTGTCACCGGGGCCAGTCCATGGCGGGGGAGTGGCCCGGGGCTAGAACTCAGTCTGCACCCCCTCGCTGCTCTCCGTTGTGCCTGCGGGCTGCGGGGGGCTGCACTCGCTGCCCGGGGGGGCCACCTCCTCGCCTGTCTCCTTGTCACTGGGCTGGTGGCAAACCATCCCGGCAGACAGTGACGGGGTCTCGGCTCCAGGTGCGGGTGATGCTGGTGTGGCATGGGGCACCCTGGCTTCTGATGGGACATCGGCTCTGGGTTTGGGTGATGCCGGTGTGGTGTGTTGCACGCTGGCCGCTGATGAGACATTGGCTCCGGGCGTGGGTGATGGTGGCATGGGTGATGGTGGTGCGGCATGTTGCACCCCAGCCCCTGAGGGGACCTCGGCTCCAGGCACAGGCGATGCTGGTGCAGCATGTTGCACCCCAGCTCCTGATGGGACTTCCGCTCCAGGCACAGGCGATGCTGGTGTGGCGCGGTGCTCCCTGTCCCCCTCACTGGCTGGACCTTGCAGGGGGACATCACCTGGGACAGACCCTGCCACCTCCTTGGTGGCACTGCTCTCCTGTGTGGTATCGGTACCATTCGTCAGCCGCTCCTCTGCCTTGACACCATCCCCGAGGCTCTCCTTCGCCAGCGCCTCCTGGATCTCCTCCACCCCATCCGGGGAGCTTGGTGGCACCCCAGGGTCCGGCTCCTCCGGCTCCCGTGGCTCCAGGGAGCTGGGCTGCAGCAGCGCCTCGGTGCCCACCTCATAGGGCAGGACCCCCTCGTCGTCTTGGATCACCGACACCACTTGCTTGGCTCTGCGGCGCTTGTCGGCGGCCAGCTCGGCCTCGGGCTGCCCGCTGTACTCCTCGCCCCAGTCGATGGGGATGCCCTCGCCCAGGAGATGCAGGTTGGGATCGCTGTTGTGCATGACCATGCTGTCACGGTACAGGTTGTGCTTCCGCTGCACGGCCGCCTCCTTCACAGCTGGGGGCACCGAGAGAGATGTGAGACGGGCTGCGGGCACAGGGCAGCGCCCGCCAGGCTTGGGCACCTCTCCCAGCCGCCCCCTCGGGTGTAGGGTGCAGGGAGAGATGTCTGGAACTGGGCAGAGGGCTCAGCATCCCACCCACCGCTCAGCCCTGCCAGCGGGAGGGCCAGGTGGGGTGGGAAAGCTGCTCCTGGTACAGCCCCAGCACCCTGCATGGGGTCACCCCCTCCTCGTACAGCCCCCCAGCACCCTCCGTGGTGTCACCCTCTCCTTGCACAGCCCCCAGCACCTTGCATGGCGTCACCCTCTCCTTGTACAGCCCCTAGCGCCCTGCACGGGGTCACCCCCTCCTCCTATGGTCCCCAGCACCCAGCATGGGCCCTCCAGGTGCTGCTAAGCCCAGGCTCAGCTTACACCCCCTCCAGCCACCCCAAGGTGCTGGAGCCCCCCTGGCGCCGCAGGACCCTACCTTGCATGATGTCTTTCATCACCGACTGTAGCACGACCTCCTCATAAGTGTTCTCCACCAGGATGAAGCTGGCAAAGTCCTCAAAGATCAGCTCCTGAAACTTGGCTAACTCCTGCCATGGGGGAGAGGTCGCTCAGCCCAGGGGGATGGGAGGGAAGGATGCTCCAGCCCCTCCACAGGGGTGGGTGGTCCTTCCCCCACCCGCATGATGTCTTTCATCACCGACTGTAGCACGACCTCCTCATAAGTGTTCTCCACCAGGATGAAGCTGGCAAAGTCCTCAAAGATCAGCTCCTGAAACTTGGCTAACTCCTGCCATGGGGGAGAGGTCGCTCAGCCCAGGGGGATGGGAGGGAAGGATGCTCCAGCCCCTCCACAGGGGTGGGTGGTCCTTCCCCCACCCCAAATTTTAGACTCTTACCCCCTTGCAGGTCGGTGCCAGCTTTTTCAGCAG